AGTAGCTTCCACTGGAAAGCATTCTAAGAAGTTAGATTCTTCGGTCACAATCCTCTTTGTGCAATGGACCATTCATAAGCAGTTTAACTTTTTCAAAGATTTTGTAAGGGATTTTTAAGTACTGTACTCTATTACACAAGCAGAAGCATTGTTGTTTTGAATGGGATGATCTGTGCTTGCACTATGTGAAGCCGGGGCTCATATGGAAGATCTATAGGTGGAATATTACAATTTGAGTTGCAAGATCACAGGGAACAAGCTGGAGTCTCAAGAATTTGCTATGATTCTTTTGGTTGTAAAGTAGAGAGACAAATCTAAAGGTGTTATATGTGGAAAACCTTTTATTTTATTGTGTGTGGTGGCTTTAAATGCTGATCAGAAGATAACCAAATCCATCACAGCATGAACATTTCACTCTGATACTTTGGGTAGAAACAGAATGCTACATTCAGAGAGATATGATTTGGGTGGACTTTCATGTCTGAGGTATCAGAATTTAGACAGCTTGGCTGCTTCTTTCCCTTTAAGAATGTTGAAGCAGCTCTCAGCTGCCCAGTTTTCCAAGGAGCCCTGCTGATTTCTCCTGGATCCTCTCCCCGTTTTAAACTTTGTTTCATGAAAGGCTGCCTGGGGAGAAAAAGTGGGAGCACATAAGGCGAGGAAAGAAAGTTTGTGCATGTAGACTGCTTGACTGGCTGCATCCTCCCTTTCTCACTTCCTCCCAGGGAACAGCTGGAGCATTCTTAAAGGGACAGCAGTTAAGCATCCTAAAAGGAGAAGCAGCTTTGAGAGCAGACCCTTACTCTCCTGCACCCGTCTGTCCCTCCTTGCTTCCTTTTGCCTCTCTCACCACCTCCACTGGAAGTAATATGTGTGAATACAATCTAAAGTCTGAGTAGACCACAAACATGAGCCAACAGTATGATGGCATAAATAAGTAACGCACTAGTAAGCTGGATCAAGACAAGTACAGAATTTAGATCAAAGAGATAATGTTGCCAATCTTTTAAGCTGTGTTGTATCTCGGTTGAGGGGAGCTATACTGGCTTTGCCCGGTGCCAACCTGCCCTGTTCTCACAATGGCCACTTGCCCCTGCTGTTGTGGTGAGAGACGTTGGCCCTCACCTACGATGTTATGTTCAGTTTTGGGGACTACAGTTTAAGGATGATGTCAACAAACTGGAAATGTGGCCAGATGTCATGAGTTCAGCTGAAAAAGGCCTGGAATCAGAGGGGTTAATTATAGCTGAGGAAAATGCTGGGCAATTAGTATCACAGACAGCTGAATCACCACCAGATTCTCCTCCCCCACTAGCCGGAGTGAGAGTAAGCTTTGGCAGAGACTCACAACATGGAGGTCTGAGGCTCGCATGAATGCTTCTCATAGGAACATCAGGTCAACCAGTCCAGAGTTTTAACAGGATAGAATGATTCCAGAATTAGGTGATTATTGCTGCTATATGAATTGTACTCAGAGGCTTGGAAGCTCGTGGAAGCAACAAGTCAATTCCCTGGCTCGCGTCCACACTCCTGCTTATCTTGAACATTTCTCTCTTGACCCTTGGCTTTCAGACTCTAATTTCTGACTACAGTTTGTGTTTTGGTTTTGACAACTTGGCATCTGTTTTGTATCTCCCGGATTTCTGACCTTGGACTGGCTTATTGGACCTTCGCCTGCTGAACCCCCTAGGAATGTGACACCAGAGGACAATCAAGATGGCAAGACATCTGTACATCAAATATTATGAGAAACAGTTGAAGGTTCTGGGTACATTTAACCCTGGAGAGAAATCTAAGAGATTATATGATAGCCATCTTTAAACTTTTGAAGGGTTGCAACATGGAAGATGGAATAAGCTTGTTTTTTGCTGCTCCAGAGCATATGACTAGAGATGGGCAATCAGCAAAACGGTAGTTCATGGTTTGTTGAAGTCCATGAAATGAACCATGAATCAGTTTGTTTTGGATCGGAAGTTTGAGATCCCTAGAACGCTTAACTATCCTCAGCCACCTAGAGACACGAAAATCACAGAAAGTCTTCCCCTGACTCTTCTCTACAGTCCCTCCAAGTTTGGTGAAGTTTGAATTTTGGACACCCGAGTTATACACCCTCAAACAGCCCCCTCCTGGGAAAGTGCCATTTAGCAGCTGGCTTGGGGGAAATTCCAACAGTGGTTCATCCCAGGAACCTGACACATGGTGTTTCCCATTAGGAGGTGGACTGGGGAGGGGGAGTGCCATTTCCCCAAACCCCATGGATAGTGTCGCACTGGAGGTCTGAGCTAAGATGCCAAGGTTGTCTGGTCAGCGAGGTGGGGGAAACAAGACGCTGCCTGACAAGGGAAGCAATGTGCCCCTAAAGATCTGAGCTAACCTGGTTCTGAGGTAGAAGAGTTCCTCTGACTAGCAGAAGTGGCTCTGAGGTGAAAATGGCTGCTTTGAATCAGTCTTATAAATAAGAACGAACAACTCCCCCAGAGCCCTTTGAGCTGCCTGACCTGTCAGTCCAGTGGTCTCTAGGTCCTTCCCAGGGTTGCCTAGTGCACTGGTTCTTAACCTTTGTTACTCAGATGTTTTTGCAACTCCCGGAAGCCTTCACCATCAGCTCTGCTGGCTGAGGTTTCTGGGAGTTGCAGTTCAAAAACACCTGAGTAACAAAGGTTAAGAACCATTTCTGATTCCTAGGAGCAGGCTGTCAGGGCTGAGGAGGGAATAGGCAAATAATTCAAAAATTGCTAAAAAGTTTCTTTTGGTTCATTTTGGTTTGTAATTTTTGACAAACCTGACCTGACCTGAACCTATGAACCAGAGATTTTAGACGAACTTCCTGATTCATTTTTTGGATCGTGCCCATCTCTAGATAGGACCCAAACTAACGGGCTCAAATTACAAGAAAGGAAATTTTGACTAAACATTTGGAAGAATGTCCTTCCAGTAACAGCTGTTTGGCAGTGAAATGGACGAGAAGGTGAAAGGTGGCAGAGTGTCCCTTGTTTGGTACTTCTAAACCAAGGTTCTGTGCCCATCTCTCAGGAATGCTTTAGCTATGGAGTATCCTTATTTGGCAGGAGTTGGACTTAATGATCCGTGGTTCATTCCCAGTTCTATGGTTCTATGGAGCTGCCACATTCTATGAAAGTTCTTTGGAGGGATTGGAGTTCAGAATAACCAGGGTTGCTCTAATGCAGATCCTGGAATTTGACTGGAGATTTTAAAATGTTATAGTTATGTTATGTTTAATTGAGAGACATTTAATCAAGATCAGAGTGGTATTGCTTTTCTGAAATCCTCTGATGCAGAATTGAGGAGGGAAAGAAAGTGTAGGCATCCTTCAGTCTCGAGAGACTATGGTAACGTGCTCTGTATGAAGGTCTTGGAACAGTGTCTTGTGTGGCTGAGAAGGCCGATTCGAGAGTGACAATCTCTTCCACATTGAAGACAAATACAATCTGACCCCTGTCCAGCTCCCTGGTTTTGCTTGTTTCGGGACTGCCTCTTTGCCTCGGCCTGCTGTACAAGTGTCTCTTCAAATTGGGAGAAGCCATGATGCACCACCTGCCTCCAGGCTGAACGCTCAGACGGCAAGGTTTCCCATCTGTTGAGGTCCATTCCTAAGGCCTTTAGATCCCGCTTGCAGATGTCCTTGTAACGCAGCTGTGATCTCCCTCGGGGGAGGCTTCCCTGCACTAATTCTCCTTACAGGAGATCTTTTGGAATCCAACCATCAGCCATTCTCACGACGTGCCCAAGCCAACGTAGACGGCGCTGTTTCACTAATGTATACATTCTGAAAATTCCAGCTCATTCTAGGACTACTCTATTTGGAACTTTGTCCTGCCAGGTGATACCAAAAATGCGTCGGAGGCAACGCATATGGAAGGGGTTCAACTTCCTCTCCTGTTGTGTACAAAGGGTCCAGGACTCACTGCAGTATAGGAGCGTGCTCAGGTCACAGGCTCTATAGACCTGGATTTTGGTGTATGATGTCAACTTCTTATTAAGCCATACTCTCTTTGTGAGTCTAGAGAACATGGTAGCTGCTTTCCCAATGTGGGAAAGAAAGAGTAAGAACATAATAGAATGTAGCTACCATTTTAGCTGTGGCTGTTCACTGCTAACAATGACACAATCCAGATATTTGTATTTATTTTTCTTGGTTTTCATATCTGGCTTACAGCCCAGAATTAAGGCTGCTGTATTGGCAGTTCTAGAGTTCTCACGTGGCTCTGTAGCATATTTGGATTATAAATGGCAGGACATGTTTTTCTCCTAAACACCAGTTTCCCTTTCCTATGTTACATATTTGGTAGATTTTGTCATGCTGCGAGGTGGTTTCCAGTGAGTTAATCTGTTGAAAATGCTTTGATACTCACGCCTGGCTTAAGATTAGTCATTCTTAAGGAACCAGTATAAACTGTGCAAAAAATAGCTTCCCACCTTTAATGCAAGTGGCGTTCTTACTGTAGAAGACATAAATATCTTCCTCATATTCACAAATGGGTTTGTGTCTGCTATTTGGATAAGGATGGTTCATCGACTTCGGCCATACCTGGAACTCTTATGTGTTTTAAATGCACAACTTCTTTCGGTAGGTATTATTAACCCAACACATTTGTTTAGTCATATGAAACACTGGTGTTTTTTTTAACTTTTCAGCTTTCTCTTTGAAGGAAAACACTGTGCTGGAAATGGTTTTAAGATGGGTTATAACAGCCAGATATTTTTGCTTCATCAGTGAGCACTGATTTTCACAGTTCCCCAGGTGGTGGGAATTGATTGAAAACTGGCCATTTGAAGGGTCCAACAAACAATGAGCCTTTTGGCTACCACATGTTGGATGGGTTTCAAAATGTATGCTTTTGAGTGGTGAGAAACTGAAAAAACTAAAGCAGTCAACATTGGCAAACACATGGGAAAGCTAAATGAATGAAGCTTAAACTTTATTTTAAAAAATATTACTGGATGTTTTGTCTATAATAAGTTTCTGTATTTTTTTTCAGGGCACTTTTTCGTGGAAACTCAGATGTTGATCAATTAGGAAAAATCTTTGAGTAAGTAACAGCTTGCCACATTTTTTTCTCAAGAGCATTTCCAATTGTTTTTAAAATAATCTGTATACAGTAGTTACCCATTAGTTACACAACAATTCAGATACTCTCCTACGAGACGGAGTTCCTGAGTTTCCTAGCACTGGATCCAGGTTATATTAATAAAGGCCAAGTCCCACTGAACTGAATTTGGTGTTATAGTTGACTAAGGTAAGTCTCATTGTTGCAATAGGAACTAAGTGCAACTAGTCAGGACTGAGTCCAGTATATTTTGTAAATGGAAAAAATGCAGTCCATCTAACTAGATGTGCACACACACACTCACACCCCGTGACTGCTGATATGTGAAATGAGAACGTGTGGGCATGACAAGAAACTATTGACTGATGTCTATAACAACACTGGTGATAGCACTATTTTCTCTTTCCATGCTTAGAGCTTGGAAAAGTTACTTTTTGTATTATAGCTCAAAAAAAAATATTCTCAGAGGATTCTGTGAGCCATGGTCCAGCAAAACATCCTTTCTAAATGCTATCCATTCCTACACCATTAGTTAATTTAGTTTTAAACTATGTTTTTAGTACCATCAGTTTTTGTTCTCTGACATTGAGAAGTCTGAAGTCTATAACCTTCTGAGTTACTGTTTACTTTTTCTGAAGTTCAGAAGGTAAAAAAGGCTTCCCCATCTCCTATACTGCCCCTCAATCTTTCTACATTTCGTTCCTGGCTATGTCATTCTTCCTGCTCTGCATAGTAAGTTCTGGATAATTCATCTATGCTTTTTGATTTGGGATTTCATACTGTGACAGGCTGATCTCTCCTCTCTCCCTTTCCATATGCATCTCCCAATCTTTTGTTGGAAAATAGGGTGCTGAACTGTAGGAATGTGCAAGGCTGGCATGAGGCCATAAACATGTGATCAGTACTATGCAAGCACACTGAGAAAGGCAGAAACAATGGTTTATGGACATGACAGGAGGTACTGAGAGGTGTGCTGTCTCTGTGGTGCAAAGATCTTGGACATAAAGCTTTCCAAAATGCACTGACCTACTGATCATTGCCCTTCTAATCTAGTGGACACAATATTCAGTGTGATTGCAGGTGATTATGAAGCTCTGGATAGGAAGGCGAAGGACTTTGGGGCACAGGTGTCTTTTTCACCACCCTTTCCTGTTGAAGATGTAACTCAGGAAAAGCTACAAGAATATTGGAAGTGAACAACTGATTTCTGACAAGGTGTTATTGGAAAAGGTTTGATTCATTCTACCATCCATGGTCTGCTCTTCCATGAAGAAGGACTCCGGGCAAGAGAGATGGGTTACACAGGAATTGAGAAATACAAGTTCCCTCTTAGTCTTTTAAAATGCTTTCGAGTGAATCCTGCTGGTGAAAACCTACTAAGGAAACAGGTGGTATCCAGGGAATGGAGGACACTAAGTTCTGAATATGAGAAGTTGGTGATGCACACACTAGCAAGGTTATGCTCAAACTCCTACAAGGTAGGCTTCAGCAGTATGTGGACCAAGAACTCTCAGAAGTAAAAGCTGGATTTCGAAGGGGCAAAGGAACTAGAGACCAAATTGCTGACATGCACTGGATTATGGAGAAAGCCAGAGAGTTCCAGAAAACATCTACTTCTGCTTCATTGACTACACAAAAGCCTTTGACTGTGTGGACCACTACAGCAAATTCTGAAAGAATTGGGAGTGCCTGATCACCATATCCATGTCCTGAGAAATCTATATGTGGGACAGACAGGAAGCAACAGTTAGAACTTGATACGGAACAACTGATTGGTTCAAAATTGGGAAAGGAGTAGGGCAAGGCTGTATATTGTCTCCCTGCTTATTTAACTTATATGCAGAATACATCATGCGAAAGGCTGGACTGAAGGAATCCCAAACCGGGATTAAGATTGCCGGAAGAAATATCAACAACCCTCAGATATGCAGATGATACCACTCTGATGGCAGAAAGTGAGGAGGAATTAAAGAACCTTGTAATGAGGGTGAAAGAGGAGAGTTCCAAAAATGGTCTGAAGCTCAACATCAAAAAAACTAAGATCATAGCCACTGGTCCCATCACCTCCTGGCAAATCAAAGGGGAAGATATGGAGGCAGTGACAGATTTTACTTTCTTGGGCTCCATGATCACTGCAGATGGTGACAGCAGCTACAAAATTAAAATACACCTGACAAACCTAGACAGCATCTTAAAAAGCAGAGACATCACCTTGCTGACAAAGTTCTGCATAGTCAAAGCTATGCTTTTGGTCCATGAGGTCATGAAGAGTTGGGCACGACTTAACAACTAAACAACAACAAATAGTTGTGTGTTGTCAGGTCAGTTCCAGCTGCTGGCAACCCTACTAGGATTTCTAGGGTATGTGAAATATTTAAGAAGTGGTTTATCATTTGCCACCAAATATAGTCTAACACTCTGTCCACTACATTACACTAGGTCTAAGGAAATACTGGATATGAAAGTTCATCATAGATGGGTGGGTTTTTAAATGCTAAATAGCAAAAGCACAATCCCAAACAATGCTTAAGAGAAAGAGGAATGAGAGGCATCTAAAAACCCAGGGGTGGCTGCAATAAGAAGTGTTTGGGTGAGTTAAGATTTAAATGCGCATGTTTAGGAAATGAAAGGAAGAACAAATCGCCAGGGGAGAGTGCAAATGAGTGGCACTTGTAGGAAAGGTCAGGAGAGCTAAAGCTCAGAATGAGCTCAGACTTGCAAGAGAGGTTAAAAATAACAAAAAGGGAGGTTTCAAGTATGTTTAGACCAAGAGGAAGAACAAGGAAGTGTACATCCGCTATGTGGAAAGGATGGAAAGATGTTAATTGATGACAGTGAGAAGACAGAATTGCTTGACAAAATCTTTCCTGCTATCTTCTCCCAAAAGGAAGCAATTCTCAACCTGGTGAAAACACAATTGATGTAAGGAGGGGAGTGCAGCCCAAGATAAGTAAAGAGCTGGAACAGGAAGACCTAACTCCTTTAAATAAATTGAAGTTTCCAGGGCTAGATGAAATGTATCAAACAATACAAACGGAACTAGGAGGCGCAATCTCAGAATCTGTGTAAATAATTTTTGAGAACTTTGGGAGACCAAATAAAGTCCTTGAAGACTTGTATGCATAAATGTCATCTCCATTTTCAGAGAAGGGGAGCTAGAAGATCTGGGTGACTACTATACAAATATAGTATTGGTGACACCTGGCTTGGCAGAAGTACATCTGAAAAGGATCTACTGGTTTTCTAGGCCATAAACTAAACATGAATCAACAATGTGATGCAGCAGCAGCAGCAGCAAAAAAAAAACCCCTCAAACAAACAAAAGGGTTCATGGCTGCATCAACAGATGTATAATGTCCGGATCATGGAGATAAAAAGAGTACCATTCTATTCTGCTTTGCTCAGGCCTTACCTGGAATACCATGACCAGTTCTGGGTATCATAGTTTTAGAAAGGTATTGGCAAGCTTGAATGTATTCAGAGAATGGAAACCAAGGTTGGTAGAGTGTGGAAACCAAGCCCGGTGAAGAACATTTCAAGGAACTAGGTATGTTTAACTTGGAGAAGGTAAGTTGTAGAGGGTTAAACCTAGACGAATAAATTACAGGAAAGGAAATTTTGACCAAATATAGCTGTAGATAGAACTGCTAGATAGCTCAGTGGTTTATGCATCTGACTGTGGAGCCAGAAGTTGGGAGTTCGATTCCCCACTTTGCCTCTTTAACCATATGGTTCCTTCCAACTCTGCAGATCTAAGATCTAACATCCTTGTAATAACAACTGCTTGTGATAGAATGGACTACCTGAGAAGATGGTGGATTCTCTTTACTATAGCTTTTTAAAAACAGAAGGTAGATGGCCACTTGTCCAGGATACTGTGGCTTTACCATATCAGCAGGGGTACGGCCTGATGACTCTTTAAGGTCCTTCCAGCTATTCTTCGGTTCTAAAAATTAATTGTAGTTCAGAACCACTCTAGAGCTTTGATGCTGTAATAATGAGCTGCAAGAGTGGAGAGCCCCTTTCACTCTTTTCTAGTGTTTAATTTCCTAATTGTAGTTGTTTCTCTTGGTAAGTCACAGAGCTTAGAAGCAACTGGTTGTCAAGAATTAACTACTTGTAACTTAACTAGATATGAATTCACTCTTTGTTGTCTAGTTATAACTTTTAAATTTCTGTTTAAATTAGGGGAGTGGGAAGTAATGTGTTTGTTAATTCTCAGAGCTTGGTTTTTAGACCATACCAGAGCTTAAAAACTTTGTTTTTTGTTTGGACTATATCTCCTAGCATTGCCAACTGACTGAGGTATTATGGGCATTACAGTCAAAATGCTCTGCCCCAAATTCTAGATCACACCATACTTTATACTTAGAGATTTTTATTTCAGCTGCGTGTTTTCAATAGCTGGTTTCTGTTTGGACCAAACTGACTTCCATTTCCTGTGCTCTGCCCCACTGTTTATGACTCATCAGCATGGTTAATTTGGCATGCCATTGAATAGCTTTTCCTGCACAATCTAGAAGAAGTCAGTCCTCAGTGGTGTGGTTTTTCTGGCTCTGTCAATTATCCTTTCAGTTCATTTCTGTCTAGATAAAGAATGTTTTTATACATACACTGTGTCTATGTTCGTAGTGCCAGCAACCCTCCACACACAAACACACAAGTACATGACAAATTGTTTATGATATTTCTGGTGAGGACTTGCAGGTTGGAACAGAGCAACCAGAAAACAACTTTTTCTTTCTATTTCTGCTGGGTCTAGTTACCTGTGTAGAAAAGAGTGTTCACATTATTCAGAAAGAGAAAACGCAAATCCACATTCAGCAAGCCACAAGATAATCCAGTGTTTCACAACTTTCTTGTTTGCAGTGCGATATCTTTCAGTATTTCTGGAGTTCTGCTTTCTTTCTGAATGGGGCTTAGTATTACACTTTTCACCAATGGAAATCCAAAAGACCAATTGGTTTTATAAAAAATGAAGA